TACTGATTTATTGGCAAAACCATCACCACCATTACTATATATTTTAGCATGGCCTCTTACCCTGAATTTTTTCCTTATTTTTTTTTACTTATTTATTTATTATCTATTTTTAATTGGAGGGATGTTTTAATAAGCACAAGTAAGCTTATACAAATATTACTAGGACGGTAGCAAAGACGGAATTAATGATAAGGAAGAACTACACAAACGCTGAGTCTTTCAGGATTTATAAGAGTTGGCAACTAATGCAAAAAAGTACGGAATGACACTAGTGGTGACCAATTACCACAAGGGAGTAATAAAAAGGCCATTACCATATCCAATATTAACTAAAAGGTATATTCACACTAACAGGTACATATACATACACATCTCTCTCTTGTCCTCTCTTGCTCCCTTGTTTTCCCTCGCTCTCTTGCTCTCTCTCTTTCTCTTTCTCTCGCTCTCTCTTTCACTCTGTTTCTCTCTCTTTCACGCTCTCTCTTTCTCACTCTCTCTCTCTCCATGTATGTGTGCGTGATAATGCATCGACAGACAGACATACAGATAGACAAACCAATGGGTGAACATAATAGCTAGCTTACAGGCAATTGTATAATTTGATTGTATTCATTAAATGTATGCGATTCTAGATGCACATGCATACAAGTAGATATATAGACAATTTGTCTCTCGCTCTTTCTCTCTTGTTCTCTCCCTCCTTGCTCCTCCACCTCTCTCTCTTACTCTTGCACTCTTTCTCTCTTTTGGTCTCTCTGTTGCCCTCTTGCTCTCCCTTTTTTCTTGCTCTCTCTCGTCCTCTCTTGCTCACTCTCTCTCTCTTTTACTCTCTTACTCTCTTGATCTCTCTCTCTCCATCTTGCTCTCTTGATCTCTCTCTATATATACATATACATATATTTCTATCTCTATCTGTCTATCTCTGTCTCTCTCTCTCTCTCGCTCTCTTGTTCTCTTTTCTTGCTCTGTTGCTCTCTCGCTCTTCTACTCTCTCATTCACTCTCACTCACTCTCTTGCTTTCTCTCCCTCTCCCTCTCAGAACCGACAGGAAGTTCTTGTGATGAAGAACCTGGAGGAAGTGACCAACTGGAACGAATCTTCATCCTCGTTACCGTCTGGAAAAAATGTGAAAAGAAAAACATAGGACATCAGGCGATTATTCAGTAAAATATTTTGATGAAACAGTAAATAAATACAATAAAATAAATTCAACGATATATTAATCAATAAAACACTGGTACTGTAAAGTATAACGTCTTGCTTAACTGGATATAAACTGACCGTTTTCCTGATCCATTAACACGTAGCTTACACTCCTTGTTTCTGCGTAGCTTTCTGCCGGCATTTCTGGGCTCTTCGTGTATCTGTTGAAAACATTATTAAGACCTGAATTTTCTGTAGCACTGTATGAATAAAAACGCAGTAATAGTAAACAATATGCTAATAAACAAAACAGTTGCACACCAACACAACGTTGGTCTGCAAAACGCCTTTACTTTAAAAGCATCTGAACCCGATCCTCTTGCGACATCTGTGACCAGGGTGACACCCTCGCTCCTGTAAAAAAAAAAAAAAAAAAATATATATATACATATATATATATATATATATATATATATATATATATATATATATATATATATATATATACAAATTAATATGTAATACTAATAATGTAAAATGAACTATCCTGCTTGGAAATTTGATTTATAGTGTACGAATGTGAATCACTTAGCTTACACTCACAATCTTTAATTGTATTTGTACTTTTATATAAATCAAAGCTAGTTAAATCTCCTGCAGTCAAGTATCCAAGAACGCAAGGTACAGAACAATGCAACAGTATACACGCATGCTTCACTTCAACACCGTCTTGAGAAACTTACCTTTGTTGATAGACGCGGTGTACTGGTCGATGACATAACCCTCATTATCGCGATGCAAATGCACTACCTCAGACATGCTCCGATCCCCTGCAATGACGACAGATAGAGGGTATAATAGGTGGCCATTGGCAAATATATATCTTGGGCTGAATGTCAACACTTACTCATTCTCCTTTCACTTACTGTGTCCTCTCCGCATTTCATCAAAGCGATCCAGATGCGACCGGATATTGGAGGCGCTCAAAAGGGGGGCGTCCTGCACCGGAGTCGGTCGCGGGGGGCGCAGGAAGCGGCAGATCTTCTCGATGTAGTCTCTTTAGCCAAGAAGGATATTGGGAAACGCATTATGAGTCAACAAATGAATAAGTGTGTAGGTATATACATATATTCACACACACGCATGCACACACTCACTCACACACATACAGACATGCATATATACATACGCACACACGTATATACATATAAATAAACAGATAAATATATAAATGTATATATGTATATAAACTGTGTATATGTGTTTATATAAGTATATAGGTGTGTGAATGTGTATAAAAATTGCGTCTCTTCATTTATATATTTATGTGTGCATGATTATAGAAACACACGTCTCCCGCGGCTCACTTGTCGCTGTACTGGATGTGCGTGCGCAGGGCGACGACCTCGTACAGGTCCTTCGCCAGCACCCTCGGTAGCGTTTTCGTGACCAAAGCCATAACCTGCCAATTCACGAATTCGTCATTTCATTAGACTAAATGATACAGTTTATTTCCTCATCCACGTAGTATACTAGACTATCTGGAAAGTCCTTCACCACCATTAGAAATAATCACGAATGAGACATTTCTTTCTTTATCTATAAACGATAAAATGGACCTTCTTTGTAAATCCGAGTAATGCTACCATGGCCATGACATCCCTGGTAATAATAATCTGAAAGGACATTCAACAAGGAGTCACTTTACAAAGGATAAATGACTAACCTTGAATTCTTCTCTGTCCATTTCCTCGCAACGCCCGCGACGAATCTCTTGCAGAGAACACCTGACGGGACAGAAAGCATCATATTGTGTGTATATATGTATATATATATGGGGTGCGTTTGTGCGTGTGTTTGTTTAGTACACACGAATAGCCAAAGAGCTTCACCATTTCCACCCATTCACCACCGTCTTCCCTGCCCAAGCGCCCAACGAGGCTTACCTGCTTGTTGCAAGATTGTCAGTTGCAAAGACCACCATCCTTTCCGAATTTCTCACCGCTCTCTCTATGTTCTCTGCAAAATCATTTCAGTTTTGTAAAACTGCAAAATATCTAGATTAAGATCAATTAGCCTTATATCATTTTCTATGTATCAATAGTAAGAATAGGCTATTTCCAATAAAGATAAAATTATAAGTATCAAGCACATTATAATTAAACTCGTTTTATTGCTTTCCATGTACATGATTTTTGATGATTATCCTTAGCACTACCGTCATTATGCTCCTCATCTGTTATCATTACTGTCATCTGCATCAAAATGATGACAATACCATCATTCTCAGGATCTTAATCTTCACTTTCATTATCATAATTATAATCATATAATTCTTCGTTCTACCCGTCCATTAAGCTGGATTTTCACGTCGCTTTATTCTGATGAATGGTGGATAGTTTATGCCTGGAATCTTATTCCATAGGAATGCGGACTTTAAATCAATTCATTTTGGTGTAAAATGAGTTGATAATGTATATAGTACATGTATGTATATATATGTATGTATATATATGTATATATACATATATATGCACACACACATATATATATATACACATACATATATATGTGCGTATGTGCATATATGTATATCATATACATACATATATATAGATATATGCCTGTGCGTGCACGCACTTATATGTATGTAGGTATAAATGTATGTATGTATAAATGTATGTATGTATGAATGTATGTATGTACATATATATATATATATATATATATATATATATATATATATATATATATATATATATATATGCATGTGCAATGCTGACCTCGCATAATTCCTAAGTGCTTACCGCATAAATGGTTGTAAACTGTTGTTTCTTTAGTGACAGACACACATACCTATAGTAATTTATTACAATAGGTATGTTACCTTGTATAGCCTATTTTATATAGGGTTAAATAGTCCTCACCTATTTAGTTGACTAATGTTATCACACACATAACAATGTCTACACATCACACGTTCAATAATACACATTCGTTATTCACACATTTCCACTATGAACATACATATCAACATAGGTATAATTGCCACAGCAGGAAGCAGTCAATGTCCGGCTGGTGGCAGTATCGTAAAATACACCAGGCTTATATATGTACATACAAACATACATATATATGTGTGTGTGTGTGTGTGTGTGTGTACATATATACATGCTATATATAGAGAGAGATGTATATAGATTATACAGATAGATAAGTAAATTACTATATTTAGATGAGTATATATACAGTATATATACAGTATATATCAATCTATATATAGATAGATAGACAAACGGATATATATTGTACATATACAGTGTATAATCTCTATATAAATACAGATAGATAAATATACTGTATATATGTGTATGCGTGTGTGTGGTCTCTATACATCCCGTTATAACGAACTTCCAAAAAACAACAATATGGAGTTATGACACACGACACTAACACTACAAAAAGAATAATGACCAAAATAATGATGTTAACAATAATGATTTCAATCCTGCTGAAGTCAGCAGTGTCACGAGTACATACCCAATATCCACGCCCCGGGAACAAACGCATTCTCGTGCCAGGCTACACTGTATCCGCGTTGGAAAAGTGGTATGATAAGGTTTTCTCGAACCATCTCATGGTCTTTTGAGGAGTGGACAACGAACACTGAGTACTTGCACTGGAAAGAAAATAAGCAAGAATCATAAAGGAATCTTGTTTACTGTAGGTTAATATCTCATCCCCCAGCTTAGTGATCAATAACTGTTACAGTCACAGCATCACCGTTAAGGTTCGATCAGCACGAGGAAAAATGGCACATAGCAAGTAGCTATCATTATAAGTTACACTTATTTTTTTTCTAAAGTTAACCTCCTGTTTAACTCCATTTCCTGTCCGTTCTCAGTCTCCTGTCCTTTCCTGTTCCTGCTTCTTCCTAATCTCTGGACACTATAGGATGCAGCCCACACCAGCTTCCAAGAGAATGCTTCTCCTACTAAGTGAAATCATTATAAATCTGAATAGTATGTGTGAACGTAATAGTCACATGCAGCTAACAAGTGCAATACTCGTTAATTGTGGAAGGTTTATAGCAGTGGGCGTTCTCCACTCTTCATACATGATCCAAGCAGAACCCATACCTACTGTGACTGTCTATAGTCCTACACTCTAGCAAATCCTGTAATTCTGTTGATTACATTTGTTATTTTTCACTTTTTGATTTTATTTCTAAGTATTGATAAAGCATTTGTAGCTTGCCTTTATTGACGTATTGCAGATAAAAATTATCCATACTTAGAATTATTTTAAAAATTACATTATTGCGAGAAGCTGTTTTAACATTAAACAAACCACAAGAAAATAAAAGATAGCTCAGGAAACCTTACAATTATGTTATAATTAAGTTATTTACAACGTCTCAATGTCTTGCTTTATGTCAAGAACACGTAATCAGATAAAGAAGTTACTGTACAGAAGAAAAAGGAATATATTACTGGCGCAAGGCATTGCACAAACCTGTAAGTTCGCCCCATTGGCTGCCTATCTGCTAAACTCCTTTTGTTTTATATATACATATCCTTAGATTATGGGCCCCCAGTTTGGGAACCACTGCTTTAGAGGATGGTTTCCCGGAGTACGATGGACGATACTGCCTTTGGTTGTATCATAAAGTAAGACAAATATAGACATATTTATGAAATTATCTAATCTTTGTCTATATCTATCACATCAGAAATTAAACGTAGCTTTTTGAACTCATCGCGTAGCCCAGGAGCATTACATAATATACTATGAGTTGGAAAAAAATAGAAAGCTAATTTTTTCATGAATGCTTCTTCATCCCTTCGTGAATCAAAGTCCATAAAGTCCCCCAGAATTCCCAAAAAGTTTAACGCATGGGGCGACAAATTCCAAGATGGCCGCCGCCAGCCGTGTTACGAATTTTCTACTGTATAGCTCATAGGGGGATGCAATCTATCATTTGGAGGTTTTGCTGGCCTCTCATTCGAGGGGTCAGCGGTTCGCGTTCCGCCTAGGCGCGAGAAGTTTCAACAGTCGCCTGGAGGTTACTGCTGTGGTTGGGTACCACGCTGGGTTCGGACTAAGTTCAGTCGAATCAGCACCAGTTGCCTTCCGTTGTTCAAGTCTGCATTAATCGGCACTAACACGTGTGTTCGTGCATGCGTACGTATGTGTGTAGATTCCCTTGTATGGGGCCAAAACAACATAGCCCAAGTACTCTAAGCAGAGAATATTGAGAAGAAAATATTCGTCATGAAGTACAAGATGTAACAGCAAAATTCCAGTAAGAGATGTGACAAGTTACACCAAAGCCTATTTTTTTTTACCAATGGAAGGGGAAAGATTTATCCGTCTGCGTTGCGTGTGGTCACAGGAGACATATAAGGTCATTGGTCACAGCTGTTCATTTTAGAACTATCTGTCCTTGATGCTGATGCAAGGCCCTGTTCTCGGCACTTTCGCACCACTAAATTCCATGACCACCATGAACCGATGACGAATAAAATCAATGACATGGCAACAGCTAAAACCATGATCAAACGAAAACCATGACTGGACAGTGACTTACCTCACTCGTGCCTTCAATCTCCTTCGTGGTGTATCCTCCAGGGGAGTACCAACGCCTGACACTCGTGATACACACGCAGAATATGACTGCTATGATGATGGCGGCACTGACTATTATCGAGATTGTATGATCTGGGCAACTGCAGTTCTGCCAGAGGACCTTGGTTATAAATAATCATCACGTACTCATACCTAAAATCATCAGCAGCAGCTAATAATAGTAATAATAAGGAGAATGAGAATGATTAAGACAATTATGATAATGATAACAATAATATAATGTAAATAATGCTAGTAACAGCAAGAACAATGTTAATTACAGTAATATCAATAATGATAATCTTACAATAATACAAATGCTAATGTTAGTCATAAAAATAATACAACAACAATAATATTAATACTAGCAATGATTATAATAATGATAATAACAATATTAATGATGATAATGATAAACAGTTTATTTTGTAAAGTTATTGTTACGTTACAATATTGGCATTTATGTGTCTAGTAGAATAAGGTGCAATTTTACACATATCTGGTAATATCAAATTTTGGTTCCCAGATTTTCGCGTTTAAATCTTCGAAGAGTGTTTCTCAGGCTGTCGGAAGTCTGGAGAAAGATTGCATGTGGATATATATGTACATATATGTGTATTGATAGACAAAAGCAGACTGACAGATAGACAGGTAGACAGACAGATAGATATGTATGTCTGAATGTACTATAAGACGCACTCGCTTTTGAGAAGAATATGCATACATCCAAACCTCGACAACCAACCGGAGGCACAAACCACATGCATTCAAACCAATTCAACGTAAGTCTCACCTCGGGCTTCCCTTGACCTTCCTTTTCCCCGCCTTGACCGTGGCTGCAGTTCACCTGCCAGAGGACCTTGGTTGTATATAATCATCAAATACTCTTAACTAAAATCATCAGCAGCAGCATCATACTAATAGTAATGAGAATGATAAAGACAATGGTGATAATGATAACAATAATATTATGTAAATAATGTTAACAACAACAACAATGTTAATTACAGTAATATCAATAATGATAATCTTACAATAATATTAATGCTAATGATACTCATAATAATATTATAAAACAACAGTAGTAATACTAGTAATAATTATAATAATGATAATAACAATATAAGTGATGATAATGATAAACAGTTTATTCTGTAAAGGTATGGTTACGTTACAATATTGGCATTTATGTGTCTAGTAGAATAAGGTGCAATTAACACATATCTGGTAATATCAAATTTTGGTTCCCAGATTTTCGCGTTTAAATCTTCGAAGAGTGTTTCTTAGGCTGACGGAAGTCTGGAGAAAGATTGCACGTGGATATATATGTACATATATGTGTATAGATAGACAAAACCACATGCATTCAAACCATTTCAACGTAAGTCTCACCTCGGGCTTCCCTTGACCTTCCTTTTCCCCGCCTTGACCGTGGCTGCAGTTCACCTGCCAGAGGACCTTGGTTGTATATAATCATCACGTACTCTTAACTAAAATCATCAGCAGCAGCATCATAATAATAGTAATGAGAGTGATAAAGACAATGATGATAATGATAACAATAATATAATGTAGATAATGTTAATAACAGCAACAACAATGTTAATTACAGTAATATCAATAATGCTAATCTTACAATAAAATTAATGCTAATGATACTCATAATAATATTATAAAACAACAGTAGTAATACTAGTAATAATTATAATTATAATAACAATATTAATGATGATAATGATAAACTGTTTATTCTGTAAAGTTATTGTTACGTTACAATATTGGCGTTATGTGTCTAGCAGAGTAAGGTGCAGTTAACACATAATATCTAGTAGTATTAAATTTTGGTTTCCAGATTTTCGCGTTTAAATCTTCTAAGAGTGTTTCTCAGGCTGTCGGAAGTCCGGAGAAAGATTGCATGTGGATATATATGTATATATATGTGTATAGATACACAAAAGCAGACTGACAGATAGACAGGTAGACAGACAGATAGATATGTATGTCTGAATCATATTAGCACACTCAAACTAAATGTGCACAATTTGGACACCGTAACGGTTACATACCATAGAGTTGTCTCCGAAAATAATACACAGTCCCGAGGTCCCACTGCAAAGAAAAAAAAACGAAAAAAGCATGTTATGTTGATGGTATGCACAGAATCAAGTCCCTTATCTATTTAGCATGTGTAGTCCGTTTTGATCCTTGGTCTCCAACGATATATGCCTTTTAGAATTTTAAGACAAAAAGGAACAACTTTTATATTTTACGTTTACATTTTTTTTATTATAGATTCAGTAACCGCCAAACCTTGTCCATTTCTTCATCACTTATGTAGATTCATGTAAAGAAATTTTAATGAAATCTTTTACATATGAGCTATGGAACATTACTGTTAATAATGTGTAGGCCTGTAATGCCTCAGGCACATTCCCTTCGTTTCCTCAACATTCAACCTCTCTTTGCTGTCGTTTCCAAGTTCGAGGTAAAAAAGGAAAAAAAAGAAAAAAAAGAAAAGAAAAGAAAGACACCAGTCTGGCCTCTTCCGGATCGTAAGATCCTCCATAGCTCACCTGGTTAAATTTCTTATGGAAGTGGAACTGACGTCAGAGTCTTGAGTCTAGGCAATAGATCGGTTATGTTGAGAGGGAATTTTTTTAGGGCGTTGTGAGAGAGGTTGAGATCCTGCAGAGACGGGTATGTGGCGAGGTCAAGAGAGGTGACGTTGGCGATACTGTTGTTTGAGAGGTCGAGGGAAAGCAGGTGTAGTAGGGAGCCACAGACCTGCACTCCGGGGCTTTCCAGCTGCAGAGGATCGGGAAAGATGAGGGTCGTGATTATGCTATGATGATGGCGGTAACAATGATGAAAATGTATATATTAATAGTGATAGTGATGGTGATCATAATCATGATGATTATGACCATGATAATAGCAAGGATAATACTACTAATAATAGTGAAAATTATGATCATGATACTAATACTAATGATAATAATAGTGAAAATTATGATGGCTATGATAATAATGATAATGATGAAAATAGTTTTAACTGTGGTAATAAATGATTATAATAACAGAAACAACAATGATAAATATCGTCACCTTCATAAAATAATTGCCTAAGTCATTTCTTCAACATTTTGGGAAATCGAAAAAAACTTTCTCATTTTCTTAATTTTGATATCAGTGCAGTGTTTTTCATTTTAAAACTTCTTGATAGATGTACAACAAATTATTTAAGCAAGAATATCAATAGGTGCACCACATCAAGAAGAACTGACTTAGGCAAAAATCAAGAAATCGCCAAAAAATGACTTAGGCAGTTATTTTATGAAGGTGACGATATAATATACTGGTAATAATAATAATGACAATAACAACAGTAACAGTAATGATAATAATACTGAACCAATTATCTTGCATCAGCAACACGATGTCTAAGACTTGTAAAACGGGAATTTTGTATGTCATGGCAGATGTTTTCTAGTCCCAGGGGATCAAACCTGAGTTGACAAGTTACGCAATTATAAAATTAACTTTAGATACACTCAAATCAGATCCACGAACTCACTAGGGAAGGAGACTGACTAGGATCGTAAATAATGAAAAGTGTAGCCACGGAGATCCAACCCACGACTTCAAGAGCACGCGGTTGCAGGCAAAAGTCACATATAACGGGTCGACACACTATTCAGGACACTGACTTATGCCCAACCGCCTCAGCGCCGTCCCAGGATCACGCAACCGTGAGAAGGTAGCGGTGACATCAAGGCCTACAAATTGCTTTATAGTTTTCCCATGCTGTATCGCCGCAGATGATCAAGATAAGTGCGGAGGGCACACCTGTTTGAGAACCAATACACCGATCCAGTGTATTTCCACCGTGCAAAGTATCTCTCAATTAAATGTATTGCAGTTAAATTAAACTTTCTTCTTGAGAGCGTGTAATGAATGTGATAAGCGGTGGATATATTGAACGAGCATTTTGCCTAAGGCGAGTTAAACAAACGGACAAATACGTTTTTGTATATATTGTTATATAACTCTTTAGTAAAGATAAAGATGTGTCACTCCTACTTCTGAACACGTAAATGAGTAAAAGGACGAATATTAAAAATGAAATATATGAATATATAATGTAAACATCTGGCTATTTCTTGTCGAAAACAGGAATAATCGCATTAAGAAAACGGTTATAGATCCCCACAGGAGAGGGGGGAAACCCATACTGTTAGCCTGACAACTATCGAACTAAATTTTTTATCATGTAATGATAATCAATATTGTTCTGATCAAGAATCTATATCGTACACACACACATATATACATATATAATGTACACATACAGACATAAGTGGAAAGAAAGTAGCAGATGATTAACATCCAATCAGTACCATAATTTTAGTTATTTAGTTCTTTGTACCAATTTTGTATTTCTTTTGTCTTTAATAAATTATTAATTAGCAGAGCTAGTTGCATTTCCCACTTACACATTCAATTTCATTCTGATCATAGAATAACCAAAATGTCCTGCCCGCATTCACGTGTCTCTTACCCTCCAAACTGTTTACCATGTGTGCCATTTTTTTTCTTTTCCTTTCTTTTTCCTTTTTTTTTCTTATATAAGATCCTACGCAAAGGATTATTTCTTTGAAGTTTAATCCCTAACGGTTAGGTTGTTAATTTGTTTATTTTTCTGTTTAATCCGTTTCTTTCTGACACAGACAGCAAATCTGCTCCTACGGAATGGTGGGGGCAGATTACCCCCAGCACATATGTGCACCAACAATAATATCGCTAGAGAGAGGGAGAGGTAGAGAGAGAGAGAAAAGTAGGGAGATTTGAAGAGCAGGAATTCTGTCTGCTAATAATAATGATAATAAAACACAGCGTACCTTATTTCTAGACATCGTAAGTGTCCCCAGAGGATACAGCAACGGACAGTCGGCAGCGGTTAGTCTCTTAATTTTGTTATCATCTAAGGACACTGTGTGGAGATGCTGAGGATAACACTTGCTATCCTTACTGTAGTAGTCGTATGTATAACAGTCGCATTTCCCTCGTCCTGAGAGCACTGTACAAGAATAGAGATTGGTGAAAATTACACACGTGTCATCCAGCGCCGCCATCCACACGCACATACGTGTCACCCACATGCTATCATCCACACACACATGCACGTTACCTACATACACATAAAAGCGTCAGCCACACACAAGTAACTGAAGCACTCACAAAGCTTAGTCACGAGGTTGCGTTCGACACTGAGGCGCCTGAGGTTGCAGTACGTGGGAAAGGCCTACGTTATCTATGTTGGTGATGACGTTGTTGTCCGCCAGGAAGATCTCGGTCTCGGAGGGCACGACGATCGGCAGCTCCACCAGGCCTGGAGGAGGAGGAGGAAGGAAGGTCAAGGGACGCTCACGGACCGCAGGGTTACTGGTCTGACTTTATTCTCTTTCCCTGTACCTTTAATTTCATGCAAGTGTTCAGCTGTAAACGCTATGATTTCTTTCACCGATGAATGGAAAGATATACCCATATTATTTGCAACAAAAATAATTGTACCGCGATCTTTAATATTTTCCATTGCAACTTATGCATCGGAATGATGGATTCCCAGCGGGGATGCCAAGGAAATGGAAGTTTTTGAATTCCTTCGGTCATTCAGAATCAGCTGTTAAGTCAGCTGTACAGGAGGGAGGAACAGCAATGAGTGGGTCCTTGGCAACATTCAGTGTAAAGAGAACTTGCTAAAAACAAACAAGAGGGATATTGACCTTCATTGGTCAAGCATTTTGGAAGCAGCGACATCGGGAAAGACTTTTGTTGAACTACACATACATAGGACACAGTTAACTGAATAGGAGAGCTACGGAAGTTGAGTGTGAGCTTCCCATCCGTTAATGATGAATGTATCTTAGTTTCATTTGTAAATGAGGAAGGAAGCCAATAACTTCAATGCATGGGTGTATATATGCGTGCGGATATGTGTATGCATATACATATATATATATGTAATGGTACTTAAATATATGTATTTATGTACGTTCATACGTATGTATGTATGTATGTGCATGTGTGTATATACATATATGTATGCATATATAAATATAGTTATATATTTACATATACACATATAAATGTATATGCACATGTATATATGTATGTATACGCATATATACACGTATATGCATACATACATATATGCGTGTGAATTTAGAGAAGCCCAAGTCCTACAGTGGAATAAATGGCTGATGAACAAATCAATATATATGTATATATATATATGCATATATATAGGGAGATGAAAGAGAGAAAGAGAGGAGATTGAGAGATAGAGAGGGAGAGAGGGAGAGTAAGAGAAAGAGGAAGAAAGGGAGAGAGAACGACCGACCAGATTGTTTTCATCGAAAACCTTTTCCGTGTCGTTCGCTTCCCTCCCTCGCACCCAAATCAGGAAAAGCGAGGAAATACACGCTCACTCCCGCCAGAAAGCGGAGGCAAGCAGGCGTCACCTTTCCCGGTGCAGTTCACCGTCTTCCTCCCGCTGTCGCAGTCGCAGTCGGCGGGGCAGTCCTCCCAGCCGCAGCTCCGAAGAACGGCCTCGCTGAAGCAGTCGAGTTCCTCGCGGGCGTCAATGTGCAGCGCCTGCCTCGAGTACTGCCACAGGTGGTAGAGCGAGCAGTTATGGCACGCCTCGTTCCAGCGGTTTTCTGCGGCGGGAGTCGGGACTGGCATGACCATGGGCGGGAATCGATTATAGACACACATGGGCACGGCCGGGAAATAGATGGCCCGTCCCTCTTCTTGTCACGTACAAGAAGAAATAGACTATGATAATAAAAGAGATATATGCATGTGTTTTACACACATATATAAAAATAGACTGAATATGTGTATATATGTATAAATATACATATATATATATATATATATATATATATATATATATATATATATATGTATATATATACATATACATACATATACATACACATATATACACACATATATATACGTAAATATACTCACACGCACATACATATATATAATATACACATTATATATGTAGGTGTTTGTATGTATGCATGTAGGTATATATAAACATATATAATCTCATATGTGTGTACATGTATATATACATAAATGTGTATATTTATATATATATATCTGTATGCGTGTGTGTAATGATATATACACATATATACACATATGTATATGCATGTGTATATATATTCCTATATATGTATGCTATTAGTGAATTAATTCCTACCTTTGATATTAACAAAGGAATCATTTTTGAGGGACTCCACCAGCCTCCTTGGCAGCCACTTCAGAGAGTTGTTGGACACGTCCAAAGTCCTCAGGCGCCCCTGGGAGGAGGGCGTGGGACACGGCCCCTCCACGCACGCCGTCAGCACGGACACCTCGTCCAGCTTACAGCTCGAGATGTTGAGGTGCGTCAGCCTCAAGGTTAAGTCTGGGGAGCGGGGAAGCGGAGATGGGTGTTTGTGTGTGCATGGATACAAACGCACATACGTGAACACATGCAAATGGACAAATATATACAGTACATATTGCCATATTAGCTAGAGAGATGGAACATGGCTCTGGGTATTCATTTGATTTCTGTTAGCATGTACTTACATACATACACACACACATATATATGTGTGTGTGTGCGCGCGCGCGTGTGTGAATGTGTTACATATGTATACACATATATACATGTAAATGTATATGTATTGTATATACACATATACAATACATCTATTTACATATATAATGCATATACATAAGTACATATCTGTTGCACACATCAACACACACAGAATATATATGTGAATACATATATATACATATGTAAATATACATGTGCATGTACATGTATATATATTCACAAGTATACGCGCGCACATACACACACATAAATATCTATACATTGTGTGTGTATATATATATAAACATACATGTTTACATATGTGTATACATGTATAAATATACATATACATATATATATATACATATATATATACACACAAATGTGCGTGTGTGTACTGTATATATTCACGCATTTAAATTCAAATACAGTACGTTTTTACCTAACAGGGGCATTTCTTCAAAGAGCAACTTACTTCCAGGTAGTGTTATTTTCCTAAATTCATTATTCGATAAATCGAGGTGTTGCAGTTCCTGTGAAAGAGCAGATAATATTCACCACAACAGACCCCAAGGAAAGTAAGGCACCACAAGCAATACATATATGTATAATACTTGGTCTGTAAACCTACTCCTACTTTACAAAGTGAAAGATATAGCAATTAAACCAGTAAATTAGCAGACGTGACAACTAAATGCATTGAAATTAAGTATAAATCAGAAGAAAAGCAGGTGGGGCACAATACATGAGGGTTCCTTACCGATGAAAATACTGATATGTATTTTTGAAAACATGACAAGCTTACCGGGTTCTTGTCGAAGACTTTCTCAGGGAGGAAGCGATGGCCAGAAGAGGAGATGTCAAGGTGCTGGAGAGCAGTAAGATGCGACAATAACGTCAGTGCTGGAAAGATGGACTGCGGATAGTAGCCGGACTATTTTATGTTCACACACTTTCTGCCTATAGATTTTATTTCCATTATTCTTTGGGGACAAACTGATTGGTAAGATATGCCAGTTCGTTACTGATGAATAATGAAAGAGTAAATATAGAAAAAAAAACAAGAAAAGAGTAAACAAAACATCTTTTTAACACAATCTATAAGCTTGTTGTTTGTGCTTTATCGAACTAACCCTTTTCAGTCACAGGCGTTCCTCTGAGAATGAGTACCGTCAGCGAGGACAGGACGCTCCACTGCATGTGTTCCAGCTTAAAGAAGCGGTTGTTCCTCAGGTCCAGCTGGCTTAAGGATGACAACGACGACTGGGGAAAAGGTCAGTCAATGAACTGAACACATTATAAGACGGCTAAATTCCAAATTTCTAAGTTCCGAATGCTAAGATCAGGTTTTCCCTTTTGTCCCAGCTGGTCAGAGTATGTAGGTGAGGACTAGTGAGTGAAAATTAGTCGCTAAACTGATTAATATGATCAAAACCCTTCTTGACAGTTCCGCAACAGTATCACAAAATCAAATTGCATAATAGACTACTAGTATATTGTTAAAACGTTCACTTCTTTTAGTATAATATTTTCTCTGTGAACTCCAGACTCTTTTACTTCATTCTGAGTATCACTCAAAATAACATTTTATCTACTACAGCAAGATCTGTTGTAAATGATCCTACTGATTAGAAATAGAAATCACATAAATACCTGGTTTTCCATTTCAATAGATATTTGTGTTACGTTCGCGTTCTGAAGAGAAAGCGAGATGATGAAGATGTTGGGAGGAGGCTGCAGTCTTAGCTGTCCGTCCACCTTCTCCACCGTGATTTTGACGCGTATTCTTTGATTCTGTCGGCACGCATTCAAGAATAAGAACCATCGTGCAGTTATAATCGTCGACATGAAATTAACACTTCGCAAAATCAAATATAAAAAATAGAAGTCACCGCTACACTTAAACAATATATATTCGCTTTTGTTTTTACATTCTACGTGCTCATTCTCTTTATGAATATAACTGTAAACTTTGACTATATAAAAAACGCACACAAACACGTTAAAAGGAGAAGTGATAAAGTTTAAACACTATAATACATAATGCTGTTAATTCTGACTGATTTCTAACTTTATCACACATTTTAGATTAGATTTAAATAATTAGGCAAATAACAATGTACTAGAACATCTCTCACCTCTCCTTTCAATTGTTCGAATAACTTAGAGAGAGAAGCAGCCTGGGGACAGAGAAAGGCCCGGAATGAAATGTCTTGACTGACTTCATCGATGCATTCTCCCTTTGTTGATTCTGGATGAGATCCTGAAATTAATGCATTTATGGGTTATAGTGTTTGATATTGATATTTATCTAGATTTATATATACAGATATATTCATATATGTATATTGTTGTGTATGAATGTACATATATGTGTGGGGGGGGTTATGTGTATTTAAGCATACAGTTACATTATGTACAGACCTATCACAACAACGCTGATCAAGACCAGTAGCAGTGGCGGGAAGTGCATTCTCTGGAAAGTAAAGATTAAGTTAGTTTAGGCTTGTATTCTTACAATCCTACACAAACACACACACACGTGTATACAAGCAAATAAACACAAACAAACCATATACACACCCGTAAACACACGTAAGCACACACACACACGCATGCGCAAATATATACATATATATGTATATATTTGTGTCTATATATGTATGTATATCTATGCATATATGTATATGTATAAATATAATATATATACTGTGTAGATATATGTCTATATATACATATATACATAGATACACATACATATATACATAGACACGCACAAACAAACTTATGTATATATATATATACATACACAGACATACATATATAAACACACATGTATCATATGTATACATGCATATTTAGATACATATATTCATATATATACATAAAAATGTACAAATATATATATATATATATATATATATATATATATATATATATATATACAGTATCTATACATATTTATATACATATACATGTGTATATATATATAAACATATACGCATTCACACACATACACATTCACACACACACATATATATATATATATATATATATATATATATATATATATATATATATACATACATACATACATACATACATACACATATACACACGCATATATATATATATATATATATATATATATATATATATATATATAATCATATGTGTATATACATATATATGTATATATACATACATAGATATGTACATGTGTGATATACATAAATATTTATATATCTATATACATATACATGTGTATATATGTATTTACCTTTAGTGTTCTGTCCTACAACTGGTCATTTTTGCCATCCATTTCCTCGATGAACCTCTATTCTCTGTTAATTCACTAACATGTCTAGTATTTTCCTCGGGGCTAAGGGCCTTTTTCTGAGATGTCTGCCATACAGGGAAATATTAGTTAGGGAGGTTTCCCGTTGCTTTCGCTGACAGTGTTTTTTTTATTAAGACACTGTCTCTAGGATTCCAGCTAAGGCTAAAGAGTTCCCTCTATCCTTATTTCTGTTCATCCAAGAGATGGAACCCTGACAGGTGTTCCACTCTGGGTCGAAGTGGACCTTAGAGCAACAGAAAAAAAAAAATGTATATATATATATATATATATATATATATATATATATATATATATATATATATATATCACATGTATATATGTGTATATGTACATATGTAGTATATAACATGTATATATATATATGTGTGTGTGTATACAGATGGGCACACACACAAATAAGTAAATATATATATATATATATATATATATATATATATATATATATATATATATATATATATATACACATGTATATATTATATAGTATATATAGATATATAGACAGATACAGATATATGTGTATATACAGTATATATACATATATATGTATTTATATATGTGTATACAGATTCAATATAGATATTGCATGTATGCCTGCATGCATAAATACATTCATATATAAACATATAAATTTATGTATGTATATTTGTGCGTATCTGTCTATATACATAAATATATATATAACATATATGATATATATATATATATATATATATATATATATATATATATATTTGTGTATGTCTCTATATTCTTTCTCCCTAGATAAGAGAATCAGTCTACCACTTTATCAGTCTGTCTGCCCACATAACTATGTAAGTACATAGTTTTGTATGGGCACAGTGATTAGAAATCACCCATCAGGAGGGTTCCTCAATGATATATAACACAGAAATCCATACCTTCATGATATATTCCCAAGTTGAATACCCAGCTTGCGGCAGAGAATCTGTTGCTTTAATTATATTTTGCCGTTTGCTTTCTGGTTAAATCCATTTGATAATATTCGGGGAAGACACTTATATCCGAAGGGTTTTAACTTGTTCCTGTCACACTGTCCTCTAGTCGGAAAAGAAGAGCGCTGCTACACCTCACACGATTTCGTTCACACAATAGGAAAAAAAGGACATTTGTCTTCTTGTCGCTATGGGTTATTTAGTTAATTTAGCTGATTCTTTGAAAATGCAATGCATTTCATAAAAAACGCAGGATACTGCAATGATATATTTTTATATGAAAATAGCAAATATATTCAGGATTGAGTGTGAAGTAAAAGGAAAAGAGACCGAATCGAAGTCTCCAAAGGTTGCCAGATTTTCCAGCATGTGCAACAAGATATAAGTAAATCTAGATACAAAGCGATATATATATATATATATATATATATATATATATATATATATATATATATATATGTATTTATATATATAACTGTGGCAATTTAGACATGCTTAATTCCATCTCAAAATCTTCCAATGATATATACAAAGAAAATATAATTGAAGACTTATTATCATAAATGTTGCCAGCTATTCTTAACTCATGAAGTTACCATGTTCTCATTTTATGATCGAAATGTGTAAACCTATCGCGAGAAATAAACTGTTTCATCAGCATCCCAAACCTTCATGTTTTCATGCAGGTCGTGGAGGTGGAGTCTGCATCTGTAATCTCGTCTGTAATGCGCCTGTGCAGAGTATATTCAACTCAGGGATTATACTTCTAATTAATGCCTATTAGACCGCCTGTCGTAAGTTAACATTATATGCGGAAAGAATTCATTTACTATTATATAATTATTCTTAATAAAGACATTGCGGAATACTATATTGGCACTTTTTGCTTGAAAAAGTGCCAATATACTGTTTAAATACTGTTTGAATGAATTCCGCTTGACTTCATATTCACACATACCTTCCATTTATTTAGCATTAAACGTAACTAATGGCTATGAATGTGCATTATAGATTTTGTTTTGAAAAAGTTAATCCAAATATTTAGATGAATGAACATCATTTATTCAGAAAAGTCTTTTGAAACGGATATTTTCTCGAATGCTTGGCAACGGACATGACTGGCAACTACTCTTCCCATGGAAAGAACTCGCTCTCTGCAGCCTCTGGTAAATATTCACAGAACAAAGCAGTATGGAGGCAGAGGAAACGCGATTATTACTGTATCACGATCAGTACAGATACAAGGAACATATGATATATAGGGCTTGGTCTTTACGCTGATTCCTGTTTAACACTGAAAATAACCAAGATATCAAGATAATTAACGAAAAAAAATAGATTTTGGAAGTGCGTAACGTTGCACTAATGTACTTTCAAAATATAACAATTAATAATCCATATCGGAAAAATGACATGATTATTACTTGCACTTAGATTGTAGCGCCACATATATCGTATATCATTATAGGTGCGTTTGCCCGTTTTGATCTCCCGTTTTCCTTTATGAACTGGAATTGCTTTAAAGAAAAGCATGGTAATTACCCTCAGTAGGGATAATGTGAACAATACGTAGCAAGAGCGGATGGCAGATTCACACCTCGGTCCAAGCAGCGGCCTTTCTCCTTGCGCAGGACGCAGGTGTTGCCTTCCTTTCTCTTTTCACACAGGAATAAACATCCGCCCTCAAAGGAAACCACCGCATAAAAGGGCACGTGCCTAAGACGACGGGAGACAAAGGGAGACACGGCAGACAGGCCAAGCCACACAGGGTCCAGCTCCACCACCTCGTCCTCCACCCGGGGACACGGGGGTCTCTCGGGGGTCTCATATCTACCTTCAGAAATAAACCAGCAAGTTAAGACCCCTTTCACTGACCACCCCAAGACCATCTCTGTTACGCTTACATCTAGTGGCTTGCGGTGGTCACTTACGCTTACAGATAAGGATAAGTCCGATACGCGAAGCTGGGCCTCGCCCGGGCTATGAGGGGAGCCCGGCCTGTGTCACCTGATGTCGACTCGCTGTAACGAGCACAAGGGATGTGAACTTAGAATGACCCAAAATTCGTCTAGAAACCACCCTGTGTATACCTCATTTAGTCTTTATGCATATGTATTATTTAAGTATACCTCAGTTTTTAGCTTTAATTATTTGAGAAAAGGGTACTTAATTATTTTTCTAGAAAGATGATATTTTACTTTAATAGTTTTGCAGGAAGTTTTATATATTTCTATATTATATATTTTTTTTTTATAAAATAAGGAAATTGTAAAATATGATAGTTTACCCTACAAAGTATAAGTTTTTTGTTACCCCCCCTATATATTCTCTTTATTTAAAGGGTACGCTATTATATTTCAATAGTATTATTATATTAATGTTGTATAATTGATATTTTTGTAAAGAAAACAATATATATTATTTTTGTTAATAGAAGGATTCATTTAAGTTCTGAAAATTATGCATGTATAGATTAAGAAGAACTGTATAAGGGCAATATATGTGATCTGAGTAGACTTTAAAATTCAACGTATATACAGTGCTAAATCCTGAAACTATAACTATAATCATAGAGAGAGAGATCGAGATCAGAGAGGAGTGCCATACAACAGCCTGAAAGAGTATTTGATTATCGTGAAATATCCGAGGTAAGAAAGAACATTCCACTAAAATTATATAATTAATAAAGTCATGAACTACTGTATAATTGATTTACAGAACAAAAGAAAGTAACTATTTGAGATTAAACTGAAAATTAGAGATAAAGAGTATGTCTTCTTCACAGCTCGAGGCTGGCACATGGCACATGGCTCTTGAACAACATCCGATGTGTCTCTCTTATTTATAAGAATTTAAAACCCATTCAAAGAGTAAGTGTTCGTAGCATTTATAATTGTATATTATAATGATGTTTAATCAAATTTTACGATAATATATAATTACTCAGATCGTATATAATGACATAAATATTATATATAATTTGTTTGTTTGTAAGAAATATTGTTTTTGATTTCAAGAAATGATTTACTTATATTTAATAACTTTATATTGTTTATCATTCCTAAACTAGAATAATTGTTTCTTTTCTAGGAATGGGTTTTTTGTTTTGTTTTGTTTTATTTATTTTTTTATGGTTTGTTTGGTTCTTCTGAAGTTGTGATTTATGCGTCCCTGGGGCTGTGAACAAGAATGAAAGAGCCCAGGACATTGATGAAGACAAGGAAAGAAGACACCTGAGAAGAACCAGTAGTATAAAAGTGACAGGTTGGAATACAAATATTTGGGCATTTTTATAGATGAAAGTTTATTTTACTGTAGAAATGTAATGATATGTGCTTTAATATATCATCAACAATTGTAAGCTCATTAAGTGGTTTGATATTACTCCCTTCTCTCAGTTACCTCTAAGGTTGAAGTTAGATCATAAGTAACCTTTATGAATATATATATATTTTTAGTGTGGGTTCTAAAGAGTACTTTTGGAGAAACCACACATTGGTATTAACAGATAGTGCCCCTCTGGATAAAGTCTGAGTGGTTCCCAGAGCAAAGAGAAGTAATAAGGTCTTTGCTAAGGAGCATAGAAAAGGGTGGGCGCTATATCGCTAACGTGTGTCAGCTGGTGCTGACTCTGCTTTGTCCCTACCCACCGTGGTGCCCAGCCACAGCAGTAACCTCCAGGCGACAATTGCAACTTCTCGCGGCTGGGCAGGGCGCGAATCGCCGACATTTCATTTTTAATTGAATTCAGTATTTTATACAACACCTCGGATGAGAGGCCAGCACGTTACCGCTGCTAGTACAGCGAGGGAGACCTCAGAATATCATTATTACGTCACCTCTAATCACCATCATCATTGTAAGCACAATAACTTCATGTCTGAAGGATAAGAGGACTCAAATCACGAAAAAGAATCTACACTCTTATTGTTGACATGAAGATAAAGAAAAATTATTGGTTGCTACATAGAAAGATGATGGCAGCGTACTATTGTTTCATCAATACATACAGGAATACGCTCACACGCACGCACGCACACACATATATGTATATGTATATACATATATGTATATATGCATAAATATGTACATATATATATATAAATGTCTTTATACAGACAAATATAAACGTATATATATATATGTATATATACATTTATACATACACATATGTATTTATATATATACACACACACGTGAGCCTGTACAAACACATATTTCTTTATATACATACATACACACGCACACACACACATATATATATTTATTAATATAGAAATGTAAAATAAATCCGTAAAGGAAAGTATAGGCTATAGGGCACGAAGTCCTGGGAATCTTCCTCTGTACCGCAGAGCTGGAAGAGGGCTACCATAGTTCCCATCCCAAAAGCCAAGGAACTGGGGAATTACCGCCCCATCTCCCTCCTCAGCTGTCTGGCCAAGACGGCCGAGAGGATGGTACTGAACCGGCTCCTGTGGAAAATGGGACCCCCGCACGAACACCTGCACGGGTTCACCAGGGGTATGAGCACTGCACACAGCATAGCCACGCTCTTGAGCACAGTGAGCACAACCTCAGCCGTGGCAGTATTCCTGGACCTGGAAAAGGCCTTTGAACTAGCAAGCCCTCTTGCTATTCAGGAGGCCCTGGCCCAGAAGGGAATCCGAGGAAAGCTCTTGGCTTGGATAGGTGACTACTTTAGGAACAGAACAGCCAGAGTGAAGTTCCAGGGTCACCTATCGCAGCACTTGCCACTGGAAAATGGGACACCACAGGGTGGGGTTCTCAGTCCAACCCTGTTTAACGTACTTATGTCCTGTATCCTCAACATGAACCTCCCGTCGGGATGCAAGATCGTCTCGTATGCGGACGATCTCGCCATCACCGCCATTGGGACACAATGCCTAAGTAAAGCCCAGCGTTGTCTGGACCTCGTGTCCGAGGAGTGTTGCAGGACAGGACTTAAGATCTCAGCAGCCAAATCTAAGGCCATGGCTCTGGGAAAACGAGTTCAAGGCACAAGTCTGAGGATCCAGGGAGTAGACTTGGAATGGGTCCCGGTGTTCCAATACCTTGGGGTATGGATAGACCGGACCCTCTCCTTCCGGCAGGAGACCAAGTACCTGGTCGACCGATGCAAAGCAAGACTGAACGTCATGAGAGTAATGACTGGGAGACGCATAGGAGCCAGACACAAAGTACTAAGAGCCTTCTACGTACATGCTGTCAGGCCCATTGTGGATTACGCCTCAGTCGCCCTAATTGGCAGAAAGAAAAAATACAGAGAAAAATTG